GCGGGCGCAACGCCGAGGGTTGCGATCCCGTTGCTGGTCCCAGTCCGGTACGGGCGCGACACTGAGGGTTGCGATCCGTTGCCGGACACGGAAAAAAAAAAAAAAAGAAATGGAATGGAAAGAGGGCAGGCTTCAAATCTCACAGTCCTGGGTTTGAGGACGACCTCTGCTATTTGCTTTGTAACCTTGGCCAAGTCACACACCCCTGGGAGCCTCAGTTTCCCTGTCTTTGAATGGAAATCACCCTGAGTAGTCCAAGGCTAATGGGGGGAGTGGGATTAAGGGATACATGAAAAGTGCCTGGCAGCAGATCCCAAATGAGAATTGTCAAGGGATGGCTTGAGAACATGGAGTGACCAGGGTGGGGCATCTGGGGCCTGGCCCAGGTCACATGCCCTCTAGACCTTCAGAGTGGACAATGCAGAGGTCTGTGGTCTTCCATTTTTACCCACATGCTTACTGTCCTCACTAGTTCAAATCCTGCCAGCGTCTGGCTGCCTTGGGAGCCAAAGCCTGCAGTGTGCACAGACGTTGAGGGTCACGGTTGGGTGCGATCCGCATATAGCGTTACCACCAGTTCACCGTAATCTGCACTTGGTGCTTCTCCTGCCTTTGGTTGATCATTTCCTGTGAGTTTTGATGCACTGGTGTGGGCCAACTCTGTTGTCCTCACAAAGTGACATGGTGGGGACACTTTTGCTTCACATTGGGGCAATAATGTTCCAACAGCTAGACTTCATGGAACAATTATCAGCTCTCTGCACCTCACTGCTAAAACAAATATGTATGTATATTCGTGCACCCTCCCAGTGCAGAAGAAAAGCAGCTACTTCGTAGCTCTACAGAGAAATTCTTCCCCTGGGAACTGAGGATACATAAATAAGCCTTTGTGCCTAGAAAATAAAAATTAGAGCAGCACCGCCCTAAACTAATTTATTCCTGGGTTCCCTGTCACAGAACGCTTTGGCTTTCTATCAGTCTAGATAATTCTGCATTTATGCTGTTCTTTGTACATCTTCAAGATAACAAAACCCTGCCATATCTCTAATTTCATTTATACTTTGAGTAGATAACACATTCAAATGATTCGCCACTCAAGAAGTACCAGAGGGGGAGCATGTCCTGTGAAAGGTCTCCCCCATCTCTGTCCTCCTTCCTGTCAGGGGAAGCCCGCACTGCCTGTTTCTCAGGAGCCTTCCAGAGAGGTCTGCGCATGTACGAGGAACACACACATTTACCCCACACCGCTTCCTGTGATACGAATGGCGCCGACTCGTGCCATGTCGATGCAGGGCGAGCACCTCGTTCTTTGTTTCTTGGCTACGTTAATATTTCGCTGAACAAATGTAGCACGGTGATGTGCAGATCGATGTACCCCCATCCTTTGTGCAACTGCTGTAGTTGGCCCAGGACATCTATGTTTACATAGTAGCGATGACAACATCAATAACAAACATGAAGGTGGCCATGCAGAGGTAGTGAGGTCCCCACCTTTGAAGCTGCGTCCCTGAGGCTGGCCGGGGTCAGGCACTGCCTGAGGGTGCCCAGGCCGGCTCACCCTGGCTCTGACGTCCGCCCCCCAGGCCGGGTGCTGGAGTGGCGCTGGCTGGCCGTGCTGGGCTGCGTGCCCCCCTCCCTCATGCTGCTGCTCATGTGCTGCGTGCCTGAATCCCCGCGCTTCCTGCTCACTCAGCACAAGCGCCAGGAGGCCATGGCCGCCCTGCACTTCCTGTGGGGCTCCGAGCAGGGCTGGGAAGAGCCTCCCATCAGGGAAGAGCACCAGGTGAGAGGCTGGGAGCTGGAGCTGGGGGGAGGGGGACAGCAGCCAGAAGAAGGTAGCAAACTCTGTTCTCAAGGCCCCACACCTGGGAGCAGAGGAGCCCTCCACCCTCAGGGAGGACAGGCCCAGTGTTGTCCTGTCTTTGAGCAGGTGGAGGCCAGCTGGAGCCCCACTTAGCTGGGTCCTGGCCTCAGAGGTCACTAGAAAGCCTGAGCCTCTCCTGTTCCAGGAAGAGAAAGGCCAGGACTGGTCAGGGAAAAATACATATGCAGAGTTGAGGACCTGGATTTCACTGGGGAAATGTAAGATGGGGAAAGGGTTAAGAGTCTGGGTTTTGGAGTCAGACCTGGGTGTGAACCCCCATACTGCCACTTACATGCTGTGTGACCTTCCCATGCGTAGGCCTCAGTTTCTTCATGTATGTAATGGGAGTCACGGCAGTGGGGGCACTGAAGGGGCGTGAGACTCCTGGAACAGCTTGCTCTCCCCCCAACCAATCTCTTTGTGTCTCCCCCAACCAATGAGGAAGAGCCATGAGGAGGTAAGGATCTTCCCACCTTACAAATGGGGAGGCCACAGGGGGGACTGGGACAGGAAGCTGAGGCTCACTCCCCTGCTCCAAGCCTTAGGACAGGGGCCCAAAGAGGGCTCCGCCCCGGGAGAGGCAGCAGCAGCCCTGATGGCTGGTGTGCATTGGAACAGGGCTTCCACCTGGGCTTGCTGAAGCACCCCGGCATCTACAAGCCCTTCGTCATCGGTGTATCGCTGATGGCCTTTCAGCAGCTGTCAGGGGTCAATGCCGTCACGTTCTATGCTGAGACCATCTTTGAGCAGGCCAGGTTCAAGGTAAGAGGCCTGTGTCCAGCCCACCTCATCAAGCTACCACATGTGGAGCTTGCTCTCCAGCCCAGGAGCTGGTCCCCTGCAACAGGACTGGAGAGGGAGGGCCCGTCTCTGGCTGGCCCGCCTTACCAACCTCGGTCCCCGTGTCCCCCAGGACAGCAGCCTGGCCTCAGTCATCGTGGGCATCATCCAGGTACTGTTCACAGGTATGGCGGCCCTCGTCATGGACAGAGCTGGGCGGAGGCTGCTCCTGGCCTTGTCAGGTGAGGCCCGAGGATCAGGGTTCATCCCTGTGCAAGCGGGGTGCCCAGGCCAGGCTCCCCCCACAGCTGGAGGGCGTCTGTTGAGGCCCCCAGCTTGCAGGAGGAGGACTACTGGGCATTTACGAGGACAAACGTCCTGGACTGCAGAGGCCGTGACATAACACCTGCTCTGCACTGAGCGCTCGCTGCAGATCGGGCCTGCTCTAGCGACCTAGCAGTGTCCCGCCTTGAACATTTGCAACCATCCCAGTCACGACCCGACTTACAATGGGGAAACCGGTCCAGGGAGTTGACGGGACACAGAAGCTGGGGTCCTTTGGGGCAAGTGACTCGACTTCCCTGGACCTAGGTGACCCCGCCGTGATGTGGGGATAACGGCAGCACCCCCTCAGGGCTGTTGCAAGGATGGGGAGATGACTCACGTGAGGCCCTCAGGCCCAGGACACTCGGGGCGGGAGATCATGCCACCACCCCGCTGGCGCTACCTGCGTTTCCTTGGTCTGGGGGTCTTTGGGAACCTCCTGGAGTTTGCTGAGGCCTGTATACCAGGCCGGGGTGGGATGCCCTGCTGCACTGCTGGCTGGGCCACTGCCCAGCTTCCCCAGCGCCTGCCCACCCCCTGCCCGCAGGCGTGGTCATGGTGGTCAGCACCAGTGTCTTCGGCTCCTACTTCAAGCTGGCCCAGGGGGGCGCCAGCAACTCCTCGCACATGGATCTCTTGGCACCGGTCCCCGCAGAGCCCGTTGATGCACACGTGGGTCTGGCCTGGTTGGCTGTGAGCAGCATGTGCCTGTTCATCGCAGGTGAGAGGGGCCCTGGGAGGTAGAGAGGGGGCGCTGGCCCCTCAGCTCCCGGTGAGTCCAGTCTTACCTGGCCTCTGCGAATATAATTCTGACCATGGGCCAGTCACAGAACCATGTAAGCCCTTCTAGATCCTTTCCCTTAATCCCCACAACACAGCAGGCCCCGTCCCTGTGCCATCTTACAAAGACCAAGGCTGATGCCTAAGAGGGAAGTGACAGGCCCAAGGCCTCACAGCAGAAGGCACAGAGCCGGGACCAGGCTGGGACCCAGGCCCCTCCGCCCTGCAGGCCCCTCTGCCCTGCAGTCTGGAAGCTGATCCCCATGTCTCGGTGTCCTCTGACACCTATCTTCCTCCTGCAGGTTTTGCCTTGGGGTGGGGACCCATCCCCTGGCTCCTCATGTCAGAGATCTTCCCTCTGCACATCAAGGGCGTGGCTACGGGCATCTGCGTCCTCACCAACTGGCTCACGGCCTTTCTGGTGACAAAAGAGTTCAGCAGCCTGATGGTGAGTGCAAGCCGCATGGCCTTCTCCTTTGTGCAGTCAGCAGAGAAGCACATTTTAAACTATTTTGTTTGCAATCAAGTAACTTGTGTTGCAAGGTCAGGGGCCTGTGTGCTGGCTGAGGCCCCACCAGTCCTGGCTACGTCAACATCTTGGTCAGGGGTGAAGTGGACACAGATGGGCTGGGGCAGGCGAGGCCCCGGCTGTGACCCCTGAAGAGTCTCCAGTCCACCTTGGGGGAAGGACAGCGGGACTACCCCTTCCCTCCTCTCCCCTTTAATGAATGGAGCCTGTGGTCTGGGTGAGAAGAGTCAGCAGGCCTGGGCTCCAGCCCCACCTTGGCCACATCCTTGCTGTGTGAAGTTGGGTGTAATGCTTACCTTCTCTGAATCGGCTTCCTTGTCTGAAAATGGAAGACGGTAACAGTACCTTCCCCTTAAGGTTGATGGGATTCTCAGTTCAGTTCAACATTTGCCACCTTCTCACGAACGGACTGACACAGATGTGGTCCCTACCCCAGGGCTTCCAGAGAGAGGTTCTGGAGCAGAAAATCTAGTCACTTGTTAAGTCGTTCATTCCCTCCAGGTCTCCTGGCATGTGGCATGTCCAGACTGGTTCTAGGCACCAGAGACAGCAATGAACGAGATGGGCGGGGCCCCCTTTCTGACAGGAGCAAGGAAGGCGGTGGGCAGGGAGAATTAAACCAGGTTGCTGGGATGGGATACAGGGAGGCAGGTCAGCACGAAGTGTGGACACCTGGGGCTGGCCTGGAGTTGGCACAAAGCCTGGGACCTGCTCAGCAGGGCTGCCCAGGGAGCAAGGCCAGGACAGCGGCCTGGGGTGTAAATTGCTTGCTGGGGGCTGGGAGGGGATGGACAGCAAAGGAGGGAGGAAAAGAAGGCAAGAAGGAGGTGACAGAGCATCTAAGAGTGCCCATGGGTGTACGGTGTCCAAGAGGCCAAGAGATGGGCTTCAAGGAGAGTAGGGACCCTGAGGATGCAGGGACGTAGCACCTGGGACATCATGGCCAGGGGTGAGGGGACTGCTCCTCCCTGCATGCTGCTGTCCCCAAGTGTCCTGGGGCCATGCTCATTCTGCCCCATCTCAACCTGCTAAGAGCTCACCCTTTCTCATTGGCACATGAAAAGAGAAGCCACCGGTGACAGTGACCTCAGAGGGCAGGGCCAAAGCTGAGCTCAGAGGGTGGTTCTGTGGGTCCTGGAGTTACACCCAGGAGCGGGAGCCCAGCCGTCACTTGATAGTGGTTCTCTGACCTTGGGGCATTCACTTCATTGCTGTGAGCCTCAGTTTCCCCATTCACACAGCATTGACACTGCGTACAGTGCTGAGCCCAGGCAGCAGGACTGCGTGCCAGCCTGCTCCACCTTCCTGAGCTCCATAGCTGGATGGGGACAACGGGCACGGCCATGGGCCTGGCAGGCTGAGATCCACACCCTGCCCAAGGGTGGGGTGGGGCAGCCTCAGCTCATGATCCTGTGGGGGCCTCCTGCCCTTTTGCCTCATCCCCACGTGGCCTTTCTTCTCTCTCTGCAGGAGGTCCTCAGGCCTTACGGAGCCTTCTGGCTCTCCTCCGCCTTCTGTATCTGCAGTGTCCTTTTCACCTTGTTCTGTGTCCCTGAAACCAAAGGAAGGACTTTGGAGCAAATCACAGCCCATTTTGAGGGGCGATGATACCCCTTTTCTGTGAGTGGCTGCCCCTCCTAGCTGAGCCAGCTTTGGACTTCAAGGGGAATGGAGCCAGCCTGTGACTCTGAGCTGAGCCTGAGCTGTCAGGTTCACCAGCCTCCGGGTCCAGTTCCTGCTGCTGCTGTGGGGACTCACAACCATCTGGGAGGAGCCCTGTGGTCAGCCCTCCACACACCGCCTCCTTCATGACACTAAAGCAGCAGGGGTTGGGGGGCCCTTCTTCGCTCCTCATTTCCTGGCTGGAGATGCTTTTGGAGACTGGGTGCTGGGCACCTGCTTGCTCCTCTCACATGGCTGCATTATCAGGAAGGAACTTTGTCAAATAAAGATTTCACTCAGAAAATCAGGTCACGACCTCTCTGTGTGAGTCCAGTTTGAGAAGGGTGTATTCCGTCCTCCTGTAAACCAGGCCTCTTGGGCCTGCCCAGAACATCCTATGCATTTACTTCCTCGTGCTCAGCCAAGCTTGCTCTTGGCATGTGGAGGTCATTTCTAGCTCTTTCCTTGGGCTCAGGTCCCTGGGTCATTAGCCATCAAATCTTGTTCAGTTTCAAAAAAAAAAAAAAAAGCCTCTTTTTCTGTTGACTTTAATGGAGCCAGAAGTATTGTATAAATTACTTTTATTGTTCATTATCTATGTTTATCGTAGGAAAATTAGAAAAAAGATTTAACATAACAAATTATTTTCATAGCAGCTTAACCATCTGTCCTAAGCACTTTATAAATATTAGTTCATTTATTTGAATAAATAATAGAATTAATCTCAGCCACCCCTTTCCAGAGATAACTGTTAAGATTTTGGTTCTGTCTTGAAAGATCTGCAACACACATCTCTGTCTAGTGTCACTGAACAGAAGGGACAAGTCTTCCCATTTCAGCACCGCACTCTCCTTTTTCTTTTTTTCTTTTTTTTTTTTTTTAAAAGATGACCGGTAAGGGGATCTCAACCTGTGGCTTGGTGTTGTCAGCACCACGCTCAGCCAGTGAGCTAACCGGCCATCCCTATATAGGATCCGAACCCGTGGCCTTGGTGTTATCAGCACCACATTCTCCCAAGTGAGCCATGGGCCGGCCCTGAGTCTTCCCATTTCATATCTCCCCAGTCGTCTTCCAGAACGTGCGGTCCCCACATGCTTCCACCTTGACACTCCCCATTAAGTCATGTAATGAGGCCAATTCATCAAAGGGAGAAGAAGGAAGTGCGGTATGGGCCAGGCAGAGGGGTGGAGATGGCAGGACTTTAAATGTGGATTCATCTAGTTCTGCAGTCCTGGCAGGATTCGCTTCATGTACTTTGGAGGTCTGTCACTAGGTGCCTGCACATTTACAATTGCTGTATTCTCCTGACTGTTTTGTCCTTTATTAAGAAATGAGTGGTTGGCTCAGTTGATTTGTGAAAGAAAGTGAGCCGAGATGTCAGATACCGTTCAAGCTTTATTAAAGAAAGAAATCTGCTGGGCTGTGCTCAAAGGAGCAGTCAGCCCAGGGCTTCCCTGAAAATGGGGGACAGCACCAGGTGTGGGGGTGTAGAGCTCATATTGGTATGTTGGCACCAAGAGCTGGGCGGTACCATCAAGGAGGGTCATTATGCTAATGTAGATCGGGGTGGAGAACTGCGTCCTTGCGGAGGCAAAAGAAGTCAGGAGGCTTCTCGTAAAGGGAAGTGGGGAGGGGAGGGGAGGAGGTGGGCGGTGCCATTTTGCACTTGGGCTTGTCTGAAGTGGCGCTGGTTATGTTGCAGATCTATTATTCCTGCCTTTTAAGTATAGGAAAAAGGGTGGAGGTCTCATCTGAAGCTACTTCTTGGTGGAGATGGGTGAAGATATGGAAAAAATAAAAGATTTATGTTGGTGGGTAAAATAATTAGGTGGCAGGGTATTGGTTTCGTGTGGGGAGGCTGCAGTCCTCCAGGGAAGGGTCGCTGGTTCTGAGGGGCTGATATCTGAAGGAAATGGTTAATGGACTTCTGTGGTCAGCACCCAAGGACGTGTTCACTTGGCGAACTCGCAAAAGAGTTAACCAAGAAATGTCAAGGATTGCGAGCAATCCTTGAGAACGCTTGAAGTCGTGAGAACACTTTCTTGGGATGTTCCCAGGAGGCACATTATGGATAACCAAGTGCTTGAGAAGGGAGGTAACGGCCTTCTGCTCTTGAGAAAAGTGTAACAGAATTTATGCATTAATGCTTATCTCGCATGCACAAGCTTGCTAAATGTGATAAAAGCTGTAACAGCGGCTGGGCCGGCGCTACTTGCCTGAGCAGTGGCCCCCCGCTCTTCACCTGCATCTCGTCTGCTGTGTCTTCCTTCGCGTCTCCGATCATTTTAATCAACAGATATTCTTCTTGCAGGGACAATTTAGCGACCTTTTGGTTGGTGAAAGCCTGTATACATTCCTGCAAGAAATTAGAGAAACACCAAAAGAGACACAGGCCAAAAAGTAGGATGAGGCACAGTTAGGGGTCCTAGTAGGGACATAATCCAGGGTATGCAAGGGTTCAGTGAAATGGTTTAAGCTGTTTTAGATCACCCCGGACTCATTTATGCAATAACGGCATTGCTCCCCTGAGAAGAGGCAGGTGCCTTCCTTCTCGGCTGTAAGGAAGTAAAGGGCCCGACAGTCCTGTAAAGCGACTGTCAAGACAGTCACGAGTGAGGTGACCTGTCACTGGAGGGAGGAGATGCTGTCTATGCCTAGTTCTTCTGAGAGTTTTTGATAGAATTAAGAGGCAGTAGCAGGGCCCGCTATGCCAGTTCCAGTTGCAGGAAGGATCCCTGCCCCAATTAAAAGGTACAATTAGTGCCCTACGGGAGTGGGGGGCTCTTCTTGAAGGGGGGGCCAAAATTAGTCTCAGTCCCACCTCCATCTCTCCATCTGTCTGGAGGGTGATGTCGGGGACAAGCCAAAAGAATATGCAAGAAGTCACGTTAGGGGGCAGGCAACAGGATAATGTAGTTTTACAAAGGAAATATATTCCAGTTTTAGGGCATGGATGAGGAGGGTAAGTGAGTGGTAGCGTTTGGTGTTAGTGAGGCAGAGTGTGGGCATAACGCTGACAGTCCCCACTGAGGTGAGATTAGAGGAAAGTGAAGAGACATTTGTGGAAATGTTACGGGCTGCATCGACAGGGAGGGCGGTGACCACAAAAAGTTTCTCGCAAAGTGGGAGACAGATGAGTCACTCGGGGACCAGTCTGATTTGCTGAGAACTGCATCATCCCTGAGGACCTGGAACCTCCACGTTCCAGGGACCTGGAACCTCCACGTTCCAGGTAAGGGGGAGCATTGAGATAGAAGGGAAAAGAAGGGAAGCATGGGAAGGGTTAGGGAACCAAAAGAATTTAAAGGGCACATTGCCACAATGAAATTATTAAGAAGCATCCTTCTAATAGGAGGTAAAGGAGGGCCAGGAGAAATCCTCCCATAATGTTACAATCTTTTGGGGCAGCTGCTGCCAATCCTGTAGCAGGTACTAGAACAGACAGTATAATACTAGCTCCCGTGTGAAGGACGTGACGCGGGCCTGCAGGAGTGAGAGGATAATCACTGGGGGAAAGATCATCCTTCTGGGATTGAGGGAAGAGTGGAGGTCCTGGAGGTTTTCAGTTTTGTGGATCCTAAAATGGATGAAGTGTGAGAAGATGTTGGGTTGGGGGTTGAGCAGAGGGACCCCTCTGGCTTGGTGTCAACAGATTTTTGGGTAAAGTCTCAGGTGCTAGTTTTACCAAGGATAAGTGATACCAAGGGGCCTTTCCTAGTACTTTTACTGCCGTGGGGGTGGTGAGAAGTACCATATAAGGCCCTTCCCAACATCGCGAGAGGGGCTTTGGGATTTGAGTTTTAATATACACTTGCTGTCCCGGGCTTAGTTTAAAGTCTGAGGGGGTGAGGGCCGGCCTGTGGCTTACTTGGGAGAGTGAGGTGCTGATAACACCAAGGCCACGGGTTCGGATCCTATATAGGGATGGCCGGTTGGCTCACTTGGGAGAGCATGGTGCTGACAACACCAAGTCAAGGGTTAAGATCCCATTACCAGTCATCTTTTAAAAAAATTAAAAATAAAGTCTGAGAGGGTGTTGGGGAAAGGGTGAGGTAATAGAAGGTTGGCCTGTTCCCCAAGAAGATCCCTAATTAGCAAAAGGGAGTTACTGGCCTACAGGTGATGAGCTGGAAGGGAGAGGTGTGGGAGTGAAGGGCCTACCGTACATAAGTTTGAGGGAGCTGGGCAGCCCACAAGCGAGTGACTGGTGGGGAGGCCAAAACGAGGGATGATTTCTGAGGCGAGAGCATGTGTTGCTGCTGTAGCATCCTCTGACATGCAGGGAAAAGCCTCAAACCAACCTGAAAAGTTATCTACTAAGGTTAGAAGATAGAGTGTCCTTTTGTGGGAGAGTAATATAAGGGCTGAGGAAGGCGTAGTAGGGGTTCATAGCTTATATGAACTGAATTATGGAAATCTAAAAGGACTTGCTCAGCTTGTGTGGTAGGGAGGACATAGCGACCGGAGAGAGTATACCAGTTGTCCTTTCTCTGTGCCCCCAACTGTTGGAGGTGTTGTATTTCTTGTAGTGTGAATTTGGATAAAGGCATAG